CTTGAGGTCCTGGGAAAGAATAGTGCCCAGGAAGCGGAAGGACTCCACATTGTTGACTGGGGAGTCGTACAGGGTGATGGGGGTGAGTGGGGCTGTATTCTTCCTGAAGTCCACAACCATCTCCACAGTCTTAAGAGCATTAAGCTCCAGGTTGTTCTGGCTACACCAGGTCACCAGGTTGTCAGCTTCCCTCCTATAGTCAGACTCATCCCCATCAGAGATGAGCCCAATGAGGGTGGTGTCGTCCGCAAACTTCAAGAGTTTGACAGACTGGTGACTGGAGGTGCAGCTGTTGGTGTACAGGGAGAAGAGCAGAGGGGAAAGGACGCAGCCCTGAGGAGATCCGGTGCTGATGAACCTGGAGGCAGAAACTTGTGATCCCAGCTTGACGCACTGCTTCCTGTCAGACAGGAAGTCTGTGATCCATCTGCAGGTGGAGTCTGGCACGTTCAGCAGGGAGAGCTTGTCCTGAAGCAGGCTAGGAATGATGGTGTTAACAGCCGAGCTAAAGTCCACAAACAGGATCCTGGCGTAGGATGCTGTGGAGTCCAGATGCTGTAGGTCCGATTCAACACAGTACATAAAATCCGTGATCTAGTCCCGTCTGTAAAAGATGTGGTTCCAGACATACAGTACCCTGGCGTCTACAAACTAAGTTGCCTCTGTGGTAGCAGTTACATTGGAGAAACCAAACGACATGTCTCGGACCGCATCCGTGAACATAAAGCAGACCTGAAACACGGTAGGACAAACACCTCAGCCGTGGCAGATCACTGTTACAATTCAGTGGGCTCACATGACATTGACTTCTCCAAGACAGAGGTTCTCTGCAAGCCATCTGGCTATCATGAGAGATTCGTTCATGAGGCGATCCACATATACAAACAGAGACAATTTCAACCGAGATGGATTTTGGCTTAGCAATCATTGGAAGGACGTAATAAACCATTTCGGATCTTAACTGATTGTGTTCACGTTTACGGTGACTTTCAGACCGCGTTCCACTCACTGGCATGGTGCAGTGTGCAGAGTAATGTATGGTGTCGTAATTGTATAGTAAATATATAGCAGTGTGATACACATTAGGGTGGGTAGAATAATACATAGTGTTATATTAAAATGGATAAGGCAGCAACTGCAGCAGCAGCAGCAGCAACTGCAGTAGCAGCAGCAACTGCAGCAGCAGCAGCAGAAACTGCAGCAGCAGCAGCAGAAACTGCAGCAGCAGCAGAAACTGCAGCAGCAGAAACTGCAGCAGCAGCAGCAGAAACTGCAGCAGCAGCAGCAGAAACTGCAGCAGCAGCAGCAGAAACTGCAGCAGCAGCAGAAACTGCAGCAGCAGCAGCAGAAACTGCAGCAGCAGCAGAAACTGCAGCAGCAGCAGAAACTGCAGCAGCAGCAGAAACTGCAGCAGCAGCAGAAACTGCAGCAGCAGCAGCAACTGCAGCAGCAGCAACTGCAGCAGCAGCAACTGCAGCAGCAGCAACTGCAGCAGCAGCAACTGCAGCTCCCTTTGATGCCGTTAATCCTGCATAATGCACATGCATATGTAGTACTAATCACATTCCTGCATTTCCCATAAATATGCTAAATTCCTCTTGATATGCAAATTCCTTTGTCAATGCGCCCAGCTTATATATATGCTCCAAGCTCGTGTGCTGTTTCATTCAGACTCTGTCGCCTCGTCTGACCTGGTTTTCACCTGAGGACGGCTGCTTGCGTTGTGGCCGAAACGTCGTGAGAATAATTTTATTATGTTTTATTTTTATTATTTTATTACTTCCCTTCTACGTGACTTTACCAAAAGAACCAAGAAGATGTTGGTGAACACCGGAGACAGCTGGTCCGCACAGTGCCTGAGGGTGGCTGGAGAGACAGAGCCCGGCCCAGCTGCTTTGCGTGGGTTCTGTCTCTTGAAAAGTCTTTTAACTTCTCCCTCCTGAATGGAGATAGTTGTCTCTGTAGTGTGGGGTGGGATAGGGGCCTCTTGGGTTGGAAGGGGTAGTTCAGGACAGTCCAATTGTCTTTGAAATCTGCAGTAGAACTCGTTCAGGTCGTTGGCCAGGCGGGAGTCATTAGTGGTGTGGGGGGCTCTGGGCTTGTAGTTGGTGATCTGCCTGAGCCCTCTTCAGACAGAAGCAGAGTCGTTAGCAGAGAACTGGTGTTTTAGTCTCTCTGAGTACAATCGTTTAGCCTCTCTCACCGCCTTGCTAAACCGGTTCTTCAACTCCTTGAATCTGTCTCTATCCCCACTCCTAAACGCTTCCTCCTTCTCCAACCTCAACCTTCTGAGCTTTGCTGAGAACCAGGGCTTGTTGTTGTTGAAGTTCACCCTGGTGCGTGTTGGAATACAGCAGTCCTAACAGAAGCTGATGTACGACGTCACAGCCTCTGTGAGTTCATCCAGACTATTGGTAGCAGTCGTGAACATATCCCAGTCAGTACAGTCCAAGCACGCCCGCAATTCCTCTATAGCCTCACTGGCCCACTTTTTAGATGTCCTCACAGCAGGTTTACAGAGCTTTAGTTTCTGCCTGTATGCAGGAATTAGGTGGACCATGACATGGTCAGAGTGTCCCAGAGCTGCTCTGGGGACGGCGTGGTAGGCTCTACTGACTGTAGTGTAACAGTGATCCAGTGTTCCCATCTCTGGTAGGGCATTTAATGAATTGTCTGTATTTGGGGAGTTCATGGCTGAGATTGCCTTTGTTGAAGTCGCCAAGTACGATAACCAGCGAATCTGGATTTGCTCGCTCCACACTCAGAATCTGGTCGGCGAGCATGCGTTGGGCCTCTTTAACCTGAGGACCCGGCGGGAAATATACTCCGACCATAACGAGCGACGCGAACTCGCGAGGCGAGTAGAAAGGTTTAGTTTATAAAAAATGATTCAAGGAATGGAGAACAATGTTGCAGAATCACTGTGACATCTACACACCAGCCACTATTAATGTAAAAACATATACCACCGCCTTTCGTCTTGTCGGAGAGTGCTATGTCCCGATCCGATCTTACGAGTTGGAAGCCTGCCAGTTGTAACGCAGTGTCTGGGATCAAATCACACAGCCATGTCTCTGTGAAGCATAAAATAGAAGATAAAATAAAGTCTCTGTTTTTCACCATCAGTAGCTGAAGTTCGTCCATTTTGTTACATAGTGAACGTACGTTGGAGAGGAAAAAGCTCGGAAGCACTGTTCGGATCCCGCGTCTGCGTAGCCGTACTAGAGCCCCCGAACGTTTACCCCTTCAGCGGCGTTTTGCTGCTTGAGTAAAGCCTTGCGTGGTTGTGACTAGAATGCCCACTATTTCTGCCGCTGGAAGCAGAAAAGTGGGAAATAAGTCCACAGGAGTTGTTTCCCTGATGTTTAGAAGTTCGTCTCTTGTCAGAGAACTCCGAAAATCTTGGCAGAACACTGAATTACCAGACAAAACAAGACACACAGGGCGCACCGACTGGCTGAGGCTACCATCATCAGCGCCATCTTCTCACCGACACGAGTGTGCTGAGCAGCAGGCCCCTCTCGCCAGCACAGGTGTGACTGAACAGCAGGCCTCTCTCACCGGCGTACAGGTAATCAAGCAAAACAAGACAAAACAGGGCGCACCGACCGGCCGAGGCTGCCATCATCGGCGCCATCTCATGTTTTTGTCGTTTATTGTGAACTTTCGGTCACAGTTCCTATGATCACTGTTACATTGCTTATGACTTTATTTTGGTGAGTTAGAATGATGGCTTTAATCTAAGTTGTCTTGTGGTTGTTGTTGTTTGACTTGCATCCCACTGGGATTTTTGCACAGCGTTGGTGTACGGTGCTTTTCTCTGGAAGACTTTGCAGTTTTTCCCTGGATTTTTCTGTTTGCGCATAGTCACTTTGAGATGTTTTATTGTTCATGTTTTTGTTTTTTATTTGTTGCGGTTGCACCCGATTCAAGAGCCGAATGGCTCACAGGGCTATACCAATTAAATTTAATGAAACTGTTAAGGCTATACGGGGGGTATTTGTGTGTCTTAGGTACTCACTAACAGCACTTGCCCCAACATTTTGTCCAGGCTATACGGGGGGTCTTTGTCTTAGGTGCTCGCTAACAGCACTTGCCCTGACATTCTGTCCAGTCTATACGAGGATCTTTGTCTTTGTGCGTTGGGAGCAAGTTTGAGTGGCGTGTAGCCGTGGGAGTTGAACGCTCGCCTGCTGCTACTGACAGTCGTTGACTGCGGTTGGACAGACGCTGATAAACAGACACAGACAAGAGGAACACAGAGACGACATAGACAGGCAGAGAGATGTTGAATCGACACACTGAACTCGCTCCATTGAAAGAGATTCCTCGATCTTTGCTCATCCCCGGAAGTCGTTCTAGTTTCTATTTATTTCATTGTGTGTGGTGTGTAGTGTGAGCAATGTGGGATATCGATGTACACGGACATGAACAAGATCAGCAGACAAGACGTCTTTCATACTCTTTGGTTCTTTCAGTAAAGTCACGTAGGTAGAAAAAAGTAATATAATAAATAAATGACAAAGTTTCGATCGCAACACGAGCGGTCGTCCTCAGACGAAAACATCCAGACATTGTCGCGGCAGAAGTCACGTGAGCTACAGCTGAGCATCGTTGTAATGCGGTGGGCTCACGCGAAATTGATTTCTGCAAGACGAAGGTACTTTGAAAACCCACTGGCGATGCTCTTTTATATAAGCGCACAACTTAATCTATCTGTGATGAATGCTGCACTTTCCGTCGTTTTCATGCAGGGGGCGCTATAACCCTACGCGCCCCCTGCATGAACGACGGAGGCGCAGAGACAGACGTTCGATCACGTTGGAATCGATCTGCAGACGGCGGTCTTCTCGCACGGCCAGCTCTGTGTCGCCTCATCTCAATCCCGCGATCCCAACCAGGTGAAAGTCCGCATCAAACCGAATCCCCGGCAAGGCCACCTACTTAACGACGAGAGAAAATTCACACGAAATGTCGTTTTCAATTAAGTCTTCCCGATGTAAAATGATATAAGCTTTTATTGAAGAAACACAATTCAAAACATAATACAATTCAAAGTTGTTTCATTTTAAAACTTCAAAACGGAGCATCGGGAGTTTGCGTGGATGCGTCGTTCGCGTGCAATTTTTTCGTGACTTTCCTGGCCCAAGGCCGTAAATGGTTGTGAGGGGCACCGCAGGCGGTCAGGCTTGCTTCAACCCATGGTTGTCAACATCCAGACGTTAATCGGCAAGGACCATTTCTCGTCCTAATTCGACAAAATCTACGTCAACACGTAATACAAAATTATAATTCGTGTTGTTGAGAATGTATCTCCTCTACGTGTAACTTTTGAGTGGTATGCCTTGTAACAGATGAATGATCCGAGTGTGCTCCCTATTTCAAAGACAATGAGTTGCTCCAGAGGGAGATGCTTCCTAAAACACAAAAGTACCCTTTGACCTATGGGAACCTCATTTGCCAGTAAAAATATGATAATTGGTTCTTTACCCTTCTATCTGGCAACAATACTGACACCTTTTTACAAGGAGTCATGTTTGCATAGACCGCAATACCTGCAGTCATAATACAAACAAAAGAACATAACTCTGATAATGTGCACTGTCCTTGAAGTTGATTGGTCCACACCCGAGACAGCTTTCTTTGGAGCCTAGTCTCATATGGGTTGGACCAAATGACGCCAAAAGGCGCACAACTCAAGGACAATGCACCATCAGAGTATGAGAGCTCGGGGCAAGCATCTACACTATGGGAACCTCATTTGCCAGTAAAAATATGATAATTGGTTCTTTACCCTTCTATCTGGCAACAATACTGACACCTTTTTACAAGGAGTCATGTTTGCATAGACCGCAATAACTGCAGTCATAATACAAACAAAAGAACATAACTCTGATAATGTGCACTGTCCTTGAAGTTGATTGGTCCACACCCGAGACAGCTTTCCTTGGAACCTAGTCTCATATGGGTTGGACCAAATGACGCCAAAAGGCGCACAACTCAAGGACAATGCACCATCAGAGTATGAGAGCTCGGGGCAAGCATCTACACTATGGGAACCTCATTTGCCAGTAAAAATATGATAATTGGTTCTTTACCCTTCTATCTGGCAACAATACTGACACCTTTTTACAAGGACAGTGCACATTATCAGAGTTATGTTCTTTTGTTTGTATTATGACTGCAGGTATTGCGGTCTATGCAAACATGACTCCTTGTAAAAAGGTGTCAGTATTGTTGCCAGATAGAAGGGTAAAGAACCAATTATTACCCTTTGACCTGTATCACAAGAACTACGAGTCTCACCTGAGTGATCTGTACAGGTTACTTGAAAAACACACACTTTGTCCTAACATGACTTATTCAATGTTTGACCCTTATAGACAAAAGGTTACATGTACGCACGCAATCAGACAAGTATTCATTCTAAATTAGTGACAGGCATATTAACAAAATTGAATAACTGCACTGAAATATACTGCATCAGGTTACATCCTATTAACAAGAAGCTAATAAAAAAATACGCACCGTCTGCTTAACAGTGTATGTACAACATACTAATGCACCATTCAAAACGAGTCGGCCATTGCATGCTGGCGTCTGGGTCAAAATTGAGCAAATTCTAAACATTACCTACAAACTCCACAACTGAGATGCCACATCAACCATCGCCCCCTACTGACAGGCTCTTGTCCACATGCAGGCCGGTGCAGGGCCACCACCTTGTGCCACACAGGGGCAGCTGCCACTTGGGGATGCTCTTCGAGTGTTTGAGACGAGAAACGATACAAAACTACGAATTGCCGAGGCAATTAAGCAAGCACAATATAAATGCAATTGTTAACAGTGAATGCTTGGGAGCTTATTGGCTCTCGCTCCTGGTTAGAGATCTACCCAACACACAGGTCCACAAAGACTGGCCGCTCTTACCCTGCAGGTTGAACCTAGGAACTGAGTGTTCAACTTCACATTCTTGTCATTAAAGGCCTGCGACAAAGGTGCATCTATTGGAGCGGCATCGTCTAAGGCAGTGGTTCTTAACCTTGTTGGAGGTACTGAACCCCACCAGTTTCATATGCGCATTCACAGAACCCTTCTTAATTGGAAAAATAAAATTATTTTTTCAAATTCAAAACATAGGTACATGTTTTACTGGTGCACAATCATGAGTCAGGTGTGTGTCTTAAACTCCGCCGAACCCCTGAGACGGACTCACCGAACCCCTGGGGTTCGATCGAACGCAGGTTAAGAACCACTGGTCTAAGGCTTACGCATCTCCCGGGTCTCCATTTGACTTTGTATTGTCTCGGAGGAAGTCCACCCACACCTCCACTTCCACAAACTGCTGGGAGTTGCCTCGCTCTGCCTCAGTCAGAATTCTCCTCCTGCTTCACGTTGTCTCCATCGATGTGAAGATCCCATTTGGGAGTTGAATCTTCATCTTCACATTTTACCTTCACTTCTTCACCATCACATTTTCACATTTCACCTCTTCATATTTCACCTCGTTACCTGTAAAAGTGTCCAAGCTGGGATTTTCTTCCGGTTCTTGTTTGATGAGGGATGGGCTCATTGCAGCACTTTGACTTTCACAAGCTGATTTCACACTCCACTCCAGGTGGATCTTCTGCTGCTTGTGTGATCTCTGGTGTCTTTGAAGATGTGGTGACCATGCAAACGCCTTCCCACGCACACCGCACTTGAAGGGTTTCTCTCCCGTGTGTGTTCTCTGGTGTGCTACAAGAGCAGATGAACGTGCAAACGCCTTCCCACACACACTGCACTTGAAGGGTTTCTCTCCCATGTGTGTTCTATTGTGTGTTACAAGAGCAGATGACTGTGCAAACGCCTTCCCACACACACTGCACTTGAAGGGTTTCTCTACCGTGTGTGTTCTCTGGTGTTTTACAAGAGTAGATGACTGTGCAAAAGCCTTCCCACACACACTGCACTTGAAGGGTTTTTCTCCCGTGTGTGTTCTCTGGTGTGCTACAAGATGAGCTGAAAGTGCAAACGTCTTCCCACACACACTGCACTTGAAGGGTTTCTCTCCCATATGTGTTCTCTGGTGTGCTACAAGAGCAGATGAACGTGCAAACGCCTTCCCACACACACTGCACTTGAAGGGTTTCTCTCCCGTGTGTGTTCTCTTGTGTGTTACAAGAGCAGATGACTGTGCAAACGCCTTCCCACACACACTGCACTTGAAGGGTTTCTCTCCCGTGTGTGTTCTCTGGTGTTTTACAAGAGTAGATGACTGTGCAAAAGCCTTCCCACACACACTGCACTTGAAGGGTTTTTCTCCCGTGTGTGTTCTCTGGTGTGCTACAAGATGAGCTAAAAGTGCCAACGTCTTCCCACACACACTGCACTTGAAGGGTTTCTCTCCCATATGTGTTCTCTGGTGTGCTACAAGAGCAGATGAACGTGCAAACGCCTTCCCACACACACTGCACTTGAAGGGTTTCTCTCCCGTGTGTGTTCTCTTGTGTGTTACAAGAGCAGATGACTGTGCAAACGTCTTCCCACACACACTGCACTTGAAGGGTTTCTCTCCCGTGTGTGTTCTCTGGTGTTTTACAAGAGTAGATGACTGTGCAAAAGCCTTCCCACACATACTGCACTTGAAGGGTTTTTCTCCCGTGTGTGTTCTCTGGTGTGCTACAAGATGAGCTAAAAGTGCAAACGTCTTCCCACACACACTACACTTGAAGGGTTTCTCTCCCATATGTGTTCTCTGGTGTGCTACAAGAGCAGATGAACGTGCAAACGCCTTCCCACACACACTGCACTTGAAGGGTTTCTCTCCCGTGTGTGTTCTCTGGTGTTTTACAAGAGTAGATGACTGTGCAAACGCCTTCCCACACACACTGCACTTGAAGGGTTTCTCTCCCATGTGTGTTCTCTGGTGTGCTACAAGATTAGATGACTGTGCAAACGCCTTCCCACACACACTGCACTTGAAGGGTTTCTCTCCTGTGTGAGTTCTCTGGTGCCGTGTCAAATGTTCAGGACGATCCGTGCTGTATGCACACCGGTCGCATTGATGCCTTTTTGCACCGAGCTGCGCCGAGTGCCTTTCCTCCATGAGACCAATTCTGCAGAGGCAGCGACAGCTGCAGACTGAAAAAGAAGAATATCCACACGATCTACACGTCAGTATCGAGGCACAGAGGAATGAATATACACAGTCACACGTGACTTACACGTCTATAGTTATTCATATATTTATGATATAGTAGAAAAAAAGTGTCCCAAATTCATCACACGGGCTGTTATGGCACACAATGAGAGGGCAAATGGTCATAAACGTGCCTGGAAGCCCTCGTATCTTCAAAATGAACGTTAACCCAAAACTCAGAGCACACAATTTCAGCTGTTTGGCTTCAAAATAAATGTTTATGAAAGCTAAATTTAGCTGACAAAGCAAAGGGTGTTGAAAATAATACTATTTGTGTTCTGCACAAATGCATAAATTAATGTTCAATCGCAACTTAGAGGTGTGAAGCTAGGCACAGATGTCCTTGATTGCTGGGATGAGCAGTTCCGACTTCAGCTGCTGCACGTGTGTGCTGTGATCACTTCCTGACTCCATTCTTACAAAGAGTTCCAGAGGAAAACTAAAATAAACTACTGTTTTGATATAACCTCCGTGCTCAATAGAGTTAATAGACTTTACTGTAAATACAAACTTGACACTGTCACACACTCAGAGGTGGAGCCAGGATTTTCAGGTAAGGGGGGGAAACCCCTCCAGCAATGAAAAATTACAGGAGTTGTTAGTAAGTAAGGAGTTGTTAGTGAGAAAGGAGTTGTTAGTAAGAAAGGACTTGTCCCTTGCTTTTCATTCGACGCGTGTGATCGTCATCGCGCTCGCTGACCGTGTTGATGCCTTCAGGAAAGAAAAATAGACTTTTGTATTTTGGGGAGGGGGGGGGGGGGAAATGACCATGACGTATGTGGCATCAATCCGCATCACACCTGAGCTAAGCGCTCTGCAATGCTTACCCCCCTACCACATGGCTCTTCGCGCGCCGTACTTCTACAGCTGTTCACAGCGTGCCGGGAGATTTTAGGTGGCGCTTCGCTCCTGGCCGATTAAGTCATTGGCTTCTCGGAGTTTCAATACAAATCCGTGTGAAGAACGGGTACAACTGCCATCTTAAATATAAAACAGAACTTACACCTGTTTGTTTGTGTGAAGCAGCAAAAAGTCTCCAACGCTGAGCTCTGGCGTCATGAAATTTTCACAGCTTATGCTGTCTGGAATGTCTAAGCGAACGCCACGTCATTCCCTTCCCGAGTGGCAAAAATCGACCTGACGTAGCAGTGGGTTCAGGTTGAATTTCCTTGAGTGAAAACATCCGATTTAGGTAAATTGAAGTGTTTCGGCTTCCTTCTTGCAAGCATCAATTTTTTCAGGGTTTTTCATTGAATTATGAGGGAATATTAAATTAATCCAAGACAAGAATCCAAGTCCCAGGCGAAGCCGGGTAGTGAAGCTAGTTACTAATAAACCCCAATGATCCTATCGAAATTACGGATTTCTATCGGATCGTTGGGGGGGCACGTGCCACCCCACCCCCACTGGCTCCACCACTGTCACACACTGGCACGGCTCACAGGTGGTGGTATGTCCAGACCCACGCCTGGCCACCTTCACCTGCTCAGTATTAATGCTTCCTCACTCCACCAAGTAATTCATTGAGGATCAACCAACACAGCCGAGGCTGCGTGTCTCTCTGTGGTGAGATGTTAACTACCTGTCCTGGCATACAGGAAGTCGTGGGTTCGATCCCGACCCTGACGCCTGCTGTATATTTGTATTCTTGTTTCTTTCGGTAAAGTCACGTAGAAGGGAAGTAATAAAATAATAAAAATAAAACATAATAAAACAATTCTCACGACGTTTCGGCTACAACGCAAGCAGCCGTCTTCAGGTGAAGAATGAGACACTACCAAACTAGGAGCTTATATATAAGCTGCATTGGGGGTTGAAGAGCGCCTTAACAAAAAGAATGTGCATGTGAAGAGGGATTTAGCATATTCATGGAAAATGCGTAGGCGTTGGGCGGGGGGGTGTCAAAGTCATATTATGCCCATGCATTATGCAGGATCAGCAGCAACCAAGGGGGGTGCAGGGATTAGCAGTAACAAAGGAAAGGAATGTTAATGATATGTAGCTGCAGTTACTCAACAACCACGTAGAAAACTAAAGTATAAACTACATAAAAAAAAAAAACTAAAGTATAAACTGCATCGCACCATCAGTATACTTACTATACTCTATAATAAGCTGAGTTACTAACAGCAAGTAATACATTACAATTTTACCTCGTAAAAATTCTATAATATGCTTCCATCTAAACCTTATTCTCTTACATCACACGAGCATATACCGTACTATATACTGCCATAGATAAACCCAACATTAAATTATATACTGTATTGCTGTAAACCAACCTATATCTTATACATTTAATATCACACTATGTATTATTCTACACACCCTAATGTGTATCGAAATGGTTTATTACGTCCTTCCAATGATTGCTGAGCCAGAATCCATCTTCTCGGTTAAAATTGTCTCTGTGTTTGTATATGTGGATCGCCTCATGAACGAATCTCTCATGATAGCCAGATGGCTTGCAGATAACCTCTGTCTTGTTAGACACACAGAGAGAGACTAACACCTCAGCCGTGGCAGATCACTGTTACAACTCAGTGGGCTCACATGATATTGACTTCTCCAAGACAGAGGTTATCTGCAAGCCATCTGGCTATCATGAGAGATTCGTTCATGAGGCGATCCACATATACAAACACAGAGACAATTTTAACCGAGAAGATGGATTCTGGCTCAGCAATCATTGGAAGGACGTAATAAACCATTTCGATACACATTAGGGTGTGTAGAATAATACATAGTGTGATATTAAATGTATAAGATATAGGTTGGTTTACAGCAATACAGTATATAATTTAATGTTGGGTTTATCTATGGCAGTATATAGTACGGTATATGCTCGTGTGATGTAAGAGAATAAGGTTTAGATGGAAGCATATTATAGAATTTTTACGAGGTAAAATTGTAATGTATTACTTGCTGTTAGTAACTCAGCTTATTATAGAGTATAGTAAGTATACTGATGGTGCGATGCAGTTTATACTTTAGTTTTTTTTTTATGTAGTTTATACTTTAGTTTTCTACGTGGTTGTTGAGTAACTGCAGCTACATATCATTAACATTCCTTTCCTTTGTTACTGCTAATCCCTGCACCCCCCTTGGTTGCTGCTGATCCTGCATAATGCATGGGCATAATATGACTTTGACACCCCCCCGCCCAACGCCTACGCATTTTCCATGAATATGCTAAATCCCTCTTCACATGCACATTCTTTTTGTTAAGGCGCTCTTCAACCCCCAATGCAGCTTATATATAAGCTCCTAGTTTGGTAGTGTCTCATTCTTCACCTGAAGACGGCTGCTTGCGTTGTAGCCGAAACGTCGTGAGAATTGTTTTATTATGTTTTATTTTTATTATTTTATTACTTCCCTTCTACGTGACTTTACCGAAAGAAACAAGAAGATGAATCCCTGCAGTCACGAAAGCTTTAAATCGAAATGTATATTTGTAGTTTACGTGTCTCTCTCTCTCTCCCCGTGGTCGCGTGGATTTCCTTCCCGATCCCCGGGTTTCCCCTCCACATGTAGAGAGTGAACACCGCCACGCGTCCAGAGTGAACACCACCACGCGTCTAGAGTGAACACCACCACGTGTCTAGAGTGAACACCGCCACGTGTCTAGAGTGAACACCACCACGCTGTTGACGAGCCTCACCTTGTTGTTGTTATTGTTGTTGTGGGCAGGTCGCTTCTGGAAACAAGAGAGGTACAGCAGCTCAAGCGGGCGTGGCCTGGTAAAAAATGGAAAAAACTGAATATTTAAAACAAAACAAGTTACAAAGTAGCGAGCCAGGTGAAGGGAAATTAAAACTTAAGCAAGATACTCTTTGGTTATTTCGGTAAAGTCACGTAGAATAAATAAATACATTATATAATAGCATACGACGTTTCAACTGCAACACAAGCAATCATCATCAGGCGCAAATGAAAGAGAAAAATAACCTAGTAAACTTAGAGTCAGCTAACATAACAGTCAACACCCTACCTGGTTGATAACGTTCTTCCAAAGATTGCTCAATTTGAGAGAGAGACACGGAGACACATAGACAGACACATAAGCAGAGAGAGATGACACAAAGACACACAGAGAGAGACACACACATAGACACACAGAGAGAGATGACACAGAGAGACACACACAGAGACATGACAGACACACAGAGAGAGACAGAGACACACACAGAGACACACAGAGAAACAACGCCTCTGTGTTGAGGCCTTAAATAGAGAGGGGGGGGGGTAGAGAAACTAGCACGTCAATGCAAGGCCTTAGCCATGGAGTCAACATTGGGGGGGACCAAATCTTCCACGGGTCTGGGGTGGCCCCCCCAGAAAAATATCTAAATTTGAAAACTAATTTCCTGCCATTTCCTCCCTAAAATATTTGTAAAAGTTCACTAGCACATGGGATGGACTTTGTTTTATTTGATACAATAATGTCTAATAGTGTATTGTATTACATTGCTGTTTTTTCTTTTTTACCTTTTCTTGTTTTATAGTATGTAATGGCAGAGATTAGGGATTCATAAAGTACAACGCAATCCTATAAACAGGAATCTATGCATTGTTATATGAAAACAAGTCCAGATTTCGTGGCCAAGGTTTAGCAAATTGTTGTCTTTATTAACAGAGCATCGCAATTATTATTTACAAATATTTTTACAGCAACATATTGGAGGGGCATCATTGATTATTATAATTATTATAACATTATTATAACATATTATACTTATTATAACATTAGAATTAATATATATTATAATTATTATAACATTATAATTACGGCCTTGTGTCAATGAGAGATTTTGAGGTTTGGTGATTGTAGTAAATAACAGAGCGACAACACGAGGACACACACAGAGAGAGACAGACACTTAATCAAACATTTAGAAATGCTATGCAACACAGAGAGTCGGTCAACACACAACTAACGAATCGCCTGGCTGATTACCTTCTTCCACAGATTGCAAAACTAAGCGAGATAATCTTCTTGGTTCTTTCGGTAAAGTCACGTAGAAGGGAAATAATAAAACAAAATAAAATACAATTCTCACGACGTTTCGGCCACAACGCAAGCAGCCGTCCTCAGGTGAAGACCAGGTCTGTCGGGAAGACCCTGGGGTGTTTCATTCAGACGTGACTTTACCGAAAAAACCAAGAAGATGAATCCCTGCAGTCACGAAAGAAGCTTTACATCGAAATTTAAGCGAGAGAATTGAAGCGAACGCGACCAGGCGAGGGCAGGAGGCAAGGCCCCGCGTTGTAAAGTTCCAACGTGGACATCGCTTCCATGCTCGCTGCTGCTCAATTGACATCCCTACGAGAGAGAGAGGCTCTACCTCGGTAAACAACAACCACCACCACCACAACCGCGATGATAATTTCTCACCTCGGATTGCAGTTCACGGGCGGAGCGGCAACTTCCTGGTCTCTCGCGACGTCACGCGGCAGCAGGTGACATGACGTCACTTGCTGGGTACACCTCCCCCTGGCGTTTGATGCCGATGAGGTCACGCTGAGCGGTGACGTCAGAGAGCGGGGTCAGAGTTCAAGTTTGTTGACAGAATGGGAGCGGCAGTGTCGACTCAGCCTCAAACGAGTCCCCGGTGCGGTGTGTCAACATCGCCAGCACTGGGGAGACAAAGGCGGCCGGGCGTGGTGCTGGCCACCCACCCCCTCTGTGTGTGCCGTGACGACCTCCACCGGTGCTGCTACTCGCTATGAGCAGCACTTTGTAGACGTCGCGGCTTGGCTCTCCAGCACGCCGCTGGCGACATTTCACGATGACATTTTCACGTCCATGAAAAGAAAATCGCCATACGAACCTAGGCCGTTTATTGGCAAAATCGATCCAATTTTTTTTTGCTTTTTTTGCAACGAAAAGTTTATTCCTTGGTTGCGTTTAGCCTGAGTAGCCCATATATTACGTAAAAAGTGGGGAATTTCATGAATTAAATTTTCGAATATAGAAAAGTTAATCGGCGTACTGTGCCGTTTTTAGGCTCAATAAGCCCAACTTTCAGATTTATTTTCAGACGAAAGTTAATTGGCTCCATTGTATTTAGCCTTAGTATGCTATGTATTAAATAAAAAGTGGAAAATTTCACGATGAAATGTTCACGTCCCAAACAGGAAATCAGCATGCTAACCTCTGCCGTTTTTGGCTAAAATTGAACGAATTTTTACAGCTGTATTTTGAAACAAAAAGTGCATTCCTCGGTTGTGTTGAGCCTGAGTAGCCTATATATTACATTAAAAGTGGGAAATTTCACCATGAAATTTGAAAAAGATCAAATTGGCATACTTTACCAATGCCGTTCTTGGCCAAAATTGGCTCAATTTTCATAGCTAGATTTTTCAAGAAAAAGTGAATTCCTCCATTTTGTTAAGCATTAGTATGCTCTATATTACTTTAAAAGTGGGGAATTTCACGATTAAATTTTCACGCCCCAAAAATAAAATCGGGGATACTTACTTATGCCGGTTTTAACCAAAATAAGCCAAATTTTCATAGCTTTCTTTTTCAACAAAAAGTTAATTCATCAATTGTATTTACCCTTAGTATGCTATGTATTAGATTAAAAGTGGAACATTTTATGATGAAATGTTCACATCCCAATATAGAAAATCGGCATACTAACCTATGCTGTTTTTGGCCAATAATGGACAAATATTTGCAACTTCATATTTCAACAAAAGTGCAATCCTCGGGTGTGCTTAGCCTTAGTATCCTATATATTACGATAAAAGGTGGGAAATTTCACACCGGGTACTTTCCGCGAGTACTCTTATATAAGCGCACCTCATCTATCTGTGATGAACGCTGCACTTTCCTTAGTTTTCATGCAGGGGGCGCTGCAAACCTACGCGCCCCCTGCATGAACGACGGAGGAGCAGGGACAGACGTTCAATCGCGTTGGAATCGATCTGCAGACGGCGGTCTTCTGGCACGGCCAGCTCTATGTCGCCTTATCTCCACCCTGCGATCCCAACCAGGTGAAAGTCCGCATCAAACCGAACCCCGGTAAGGCCATCTAGTTAACGACAAAGATAATTCACGCGAAATGTTGTTTTCAATTAAGTCTTCCAGATGTAAAATGATATAATACAATTATCTAATTAAAACATAATACAATTCAAAGTTGTTTCATTTTAAAACTTCAAAATGGAGCATCGGGAGTTGGCGTGAATGCGTCGTTCATGTGCAATTTTCTTCGTGACTTTCCTGGCCGAAAGCCGTGAATGGTTGTGAGGGGCACCGCAGGCAATCAGGCTTGCTTCAACCCCATGGTTGTCAACATCCAGACGTTAATCGGCAAGGACCATTTCTTGTCCGAGTTCGCCAACATATAAGACGTCATGCAAAATTCTAATGAGTGTTGTTGTGGAGAATGTATCTACTAGATGTGCTCTGCCTTGTAACCAAATACAAATCTATACCAAAAATGCATTTCAAATAGGCTCTTAGAATTACCTCCTTGCTATGAAGCAGATCAGCAGACACAACATCTTTCATTTATCAATCTCTCCACGAAACAAATGAATGTTTTACACAAACTATAACTAGCACGGACTTCTGGGAGTGCGTCAATTATTCAGTGCAAGCCACCTGTGGACCCTTATTGGTGCACAGCGTCTCAACAGCAGCCGGGCTTGTTTCAACCGATAGTTACGGACATCCAGACGTTAATCAGCAAGGAGCATTTCTAGTCCGAGTTAGACAAAATCTACGTCAACACGTAATGCAAAATTATAATTCGTGTTGTAGAGAATGTACCTCCTCTATGTGTAACTTTTAAGTGGTTTGCCTTGTAACTGATGAATGATCCGAGTGTGCTCCTATTTCAAAGACAATGAGTTGCTCCAGAGGGAGATGCTTCCTGAAACCACAAAAGTACTCTTTGACCTGTATCACAAGAACAATGAGTCTCACCTGAGTGATCTGTACAGGTTACTCCAAAAACACACACTTTGTCCTAACATCACTTAATCAATGTTTGACCCTTGTAGACAAAATGTTACATGTACGCACACAATCGGACAAGTATTCATTCTAAATTATTGACAATCATTTTTACGAAGTTAAATTACTGCATTGAAATATGCTGCATCAGGTTACATCGTATTAACAAGATAAACAAAAAACACTGTCTGCTTAATAGTGTATGTACAACATACTATTGTGTCATTCAAAACGAGTAGGCCATTGGATGCTGTCGTCTGGGTCAAAATTGAGCAAATTCTAAACATTACCTACAAACTCCACAACTGAGATGCCACATCAACCATCGCCCCCTACTGACAGGCTCTTATCCACATGCAGGCCAGTGCAGGGCCACCACCTTGTGCCACACAGGGGCAGCTGCTACTTGGGGATGCTCTTCGAGTGTTTGAGACGAGAAACGATACAAAACTACTAATTGCCGAGGCAATTAAGCAAGCACAATATAAATGCAATTATGATAACATAGTGAATGCTTGGGAGCTTATTGGCTCTCGCTCCTGGTTAGAGATCTACCCAACACACAGGTCCACAACGACTGGCCGCTCTTACCCTGCAGGTTGAACCTAGGAACCGAGTGTTCAACTTCACATTCTTTTCATTAAAGGCCTGTGACAAAGGTGCATCTATTGGAGCGGCTTCGTCACTGGATTACACATCTACCGGGTCTCCATTTGACTTTGTATTGTCTCGGAGGAAGTCCACCCACACCTCCACTTCCACAAACTGCTGGGAGTTGCCTCGCTCTGCCTCACAGTCAGAATTCTCCTCCTGCTTCATGTTGCCTCCATCGATGCGAAGGTCCGATTTGGGAGTTGAATCTTCATCTTCACATTTTACCTTCACTTCTTCGCTCTTCACCATCACTTCTTCACATTTCACCATCACTTCTTCATATTTCACCTCGATACCTTTAAAAGTGTCCAAGCTGGGATTTTCTTCCGGTTCTTGTTTGATGAGGGATGGGCTCATTGCAGCACTTTGACTTTCACAAGCTGATTTCACACTCCGCTCCTGGTGGATCTTCTGATGCTTGTGTGTTCTCTGGTGTCTTTGAAGATGTGCTGACTGAGCAAACGCCTTCCCGCACGGAATGCACTTGAAGGGTTTCTCTTCCGTGTGTGTTCTCTGGTGTGCTATAAGAGGAGATGCATTTATAAACGACTTCCCACACACACTGCACTTGAAGGGTTTCTCTCCCGTGTGTGTTCTCTGGTGTGTTATAAGAGACGTGGAATGTGCAAACGCTTTCCCACAGACACTGCACTTGAAGGGTTTTTCTCCCCTGTGTGTTCTCTGGTGTATTACATGAGTAGATGACTCTGCAAACGTCTTCCCACACACACTGCACTTGAAGGGTTTTTCTCCCGTGTGTGTTCTCTGGTGTCCTACAAGAGCAGATGACTGTGCAAACGCCTTCCCACACACACTACACTTGAAGGGTTTCTCTCCCGTGTGTGTTCTCTGGTGTGCTACAAGATTAGATGACTGTGCAAACGCCTTCCCACACACACTGCACTTGAAGGGTTTCTCTCCCGTGTGAGTTCTCTGGTGCTGTGTCAAATGTGCAGGACAATCCGTGCTGTATGCACACCGGTCGCATTGATGCCTTTTTGCACCGAGCCGCACCGACTGCCTTTGCTCCATCAGACCACTTCTGCAGAGGCAGCGACAGCTGCAGACAGAAAAAAAGAATATCCACACGATCTACACGTCAGTATCGAGGCACAGAGGAATGCATATACACAGTCACACGTGACTTACACGTCTATAGTTATTCATATATTTAAAAAAAGTGTCCCATATTCATCACACAGGCTGTTATGGCACATGAGAGGGCAAATGGTCATAAACATGCCTGGAAGCCCTCGTATCTTCAAAATGAACGTTAACCCAAAACTCAGAGCACACAATTTCAGCTGTCTGGCTTCTAAATAAATGTTTATGAAAGCTAAATTCAGCTGACATAGCAAAGGGTGTTGAAAATAATACTATTTGTGTCATGCACAAATGCATAAATTAATGTTCAATCGCAACTTAGAGGTGTGAAGCCAGGCACAGATGTCCTTGATTGCTGGGATGAGCAGTTCCGACTTCAGCTGCTGCACGTGTGTGCTGTGATCACTTCCTGACTCCATTCTTACAAAGAGTTCCAGAGGAAAACTAAAATAAACTACTGTTTTGATAAAACCTCTGTGCTCAATAGAGTTAATAGACATTACTGCAAATACAAACTTGACACTGTCACACACTCAGAGGTGGAGCCAGGATTTTCAGGTAGGGGGGGGGGAACCCCTCCAGCAATGAAAAATTACAGGAGTTGTTAGTAAGTAAGGAGTTGTTAGTGAGAAAGGAGTTGTTAGTAAGAAAGGACTTGTCCCTTGCTTTTCATTCGACGCGTGTGATCGTCATCGCGCTCGCTGACCGTGTTGATGCCTTCAGGAAAGAAAAATAGACTTTTGTATTTTGGGGGGGGGGGCGGGGAATGACCATGAAGTATGTGGCATCAACCCGAGACACACCTGAGCTAAGCGCTCTGCAATGCTTACCCCCCTACCACATGGCTCTTCGCGCGCCGTACTTCTACAGCTGTTCACAGCGTGCCGGGAGATTTTAGGTGGCGCTTCGCTCCTGGCCGATAAAGTCATTGGCTTCTCGGAGTTTCAATACAAATCCGTGTGAAGAACGGGTACAACTGCCATCTTAAATATAAAGCAGAACTTACACCTGTTTGTTTGTGTGAAGCAGCAAAAAGTCTCCAACGCTGAGCTCTGGCATCATGAAATTTTCACAGCTTATGCTGTCTGAAATGTCTAAGCGAACGCCACGTCATTCCCTTCCCGAGTGGCAAAAATCGACCTGACGTAGCAGTGGGTTCAGGTTGAATTTCCTTGAGTGAAAAACATCCGATTTAGTTAAATTGATTTCTTTCAGCTTTTCTTTCTTACAAGAATCACTTTTTCAGGGTTTTTCAGTGAAATATGAGGGAATATTAAATTAATCCAAGACAAGTATCCAAGTCCCGGGCAAAGCCGGGTAGTGAAGCTAGTTACTAATAAACCACAATGATCCTATCGAAATTACGGATTTCTATCGGATCGTTGGGGGGGCACGTGCCACCCCACCCCCACTGGCTCCACCACTGTCACGCACTGGCACGGTTCACAGGTGGTGGTGTGTCCAGACCCACGCCTGGCCACCTTCACCTGCTCAGTATTAATGCTTCCTCACTCCACCAAGTAATTCATTGAGGATCAACCAACACAGCCGAGGCTGCGTGTCTCTCTGTGGTGAGATGTTAACTACCTGTCCTGGCATACAGGAAGTCGTGGGTTCGATCCCGACCCTGACGCCTGCTGTATATTTGTAGTTTACGTGTCTCTCTCTCTCCCCGTGGTCGCGTGGATTTCCTTCCCGATCCCCGGGTTTCCCCTCCACATGTAGAGAGCGAACACCGCCACGCGTCTAGAGTGAACACCACCACGTGTCTAGAGTGAACACCGCCACACGTCTAGAGTGAACACCGTCACGCGTCTAGAGTGAACACCACCACGCTGTTGACGAGCCTCACCTTGTTGTTGTTGTTGTGGGCAGGTCGCTTCTGGAAACAAGAGCGGTACAGCAGCTCAAGCGAGCGTGGCCTGGTAAAAAATGGAAAAAACTGAATATTTAAAACAAAACAAAGTTACAAAGTAGCGAGCCAGGTGAAGGGAAATTAAAACTTAAGCAAGATACTCTTTGGTTCTTTCGGTAAAGTCACGTAGAATAAATAAATACATTATATAATAGCATACGACGTTTCAACTGCAACACAAGCAATCATCATCAGGTACAAATGAAAAAAAAACCTATTAAACTTAGAGTCATCTAACATAACAGTCAACACCCTACCTGGTTGATAACTTTCTTCCAAAGATTGCTCAATTTGAGAGAGAGACACGGAGACACATAGACAGACACATAAGCAGAGAGAGATGACACAAAGACACACAGAGAGAGACACATATAGACACACAGAGAGAGAGACATATAGACACACAGAGAGAGATGACAGAAAGACACAGAGAGAGAGACACACACACATAGACACACAGAGAGAGATGACACAGAGACACACACAGACACACAGAGAGATGACAGAGAGAGAGACACACACATAGACACACAGAGAGAGATGACAGAGAGACACACCGAGAGAGAGACACACATAGACACACAGAGAGAGATGACACAGAGACACACAGAGAGACACACATAGGCACACAGAGAAACAACGCCTCTGTGTTGAGGCCTTAAATAGAGGAGGGGGGGGGGGTAGAGAAACTAGCGCGTCAATGCAAGGCCGTAGCCATGGAGTCAACATTGGGGGGGACCAAATCTTCCACGGGTCTGGGGTGGCCCCCCCCAGAAAAATATCTAAATTTCAAAACTATTTTCCTGCCATTTCCTCCCTAAAATATTTTTTTAAGTTCACTAGCACATGGGATGGACTTTGTTTTATTTGATACAATAACGTCTAATAGTGTATTGTAATACATTGCTCTGTTTTTTCTTTTTTACCTTTCTTGTTTCATAGTATGTAATGGCAGAGATTAGGGATTCATAAAGTACAACGCAATCCTATAAACAGGAATCTATGCATTGTTATATGAAGACAAGTCCAGATTTCGTGGCCAAGGTTTAGCAAATTGTTGTCTTTATTAACAGAGCATCGCAATTATTATTTACAAATATTTTTACAGAAACATATTGGGGAGGCATATTTGATTATTATACTTATAACATATTATAACATTATAATTATGACATATTATATGTATTATAACATTATAATTAATAAATATTAATATAATTATTATAACATATTATACTTATTATAGCATTATAATGATTATATATTAATAAAATAATTATAACATATTATACTTATTATAACATTATAATTATTATATATTTCAACATAATATTATACTTATTATAACAAGTTATAATGACGGCCTTGTGTCAATGAGAGACTTGGAGGTTTGGTGACTGCACAAAGAGAGACACTTAATCAAACAAATTAAAAAAGTAATGCAATGCAACACAGAGAGTCGGTCAACACACCAACTAAC